GGTGGTAAAATTACCACAGTTTAAGGACAAATTAAATAAAGATGCCTGAAACAACTTTGTTTAACATCGTCTTTTCCGTTTTTCTTCTCAAAAGTGGCGATGAGAGAAGGGAATTGACAAAGTTGCCTTCGCTTCCGTATCCCTTCGTTTGGGGCACCATGGGTTCTCGGTCCTTGCAGATAACATTGCCTTTTCTGCTCTTGATTATAGAAGAGACGACGACCGGAACAGAATCGCCTCGCTTTGTATATCCATTCACTTTAGGTCACCTGGGTTCTCGGTCCTTGCAGATAATTTGGGACACCAAAGCATTCCGTGGTAGCTATGCAGATGAAGTCGTACTATCAGCGGTGGCAGCTAATTCATCTGGCGGCGAAATTCGGAATGTTGCAAATTTCTCGTAAGGCGAAATCACACTTCGGGGACTGCAACCCAACCACTTATACTCTGTGATAGTAGACATTCGTATGAGACATGAAAGCCTGTGGAAAGACACTTATAGGATCAGAACGCTACCGGCTGGTAAGCAGGTGCATGTGATCAGCATATGCAACCCCCACCAACACATTTTTACTGCTGACATTGCTTATGTGATGCCCTCATTTGAGTGTTTCCATTGACGTAGTAGAGGAGGAAGGAAGCACCGTCTCGCCTGGTGGGTCTAACTTGACTTTCTCAACTGCCGATATTTTTCCTTATGTTTTTTAATAGAATATCCTTTGAGTAGGCGAGGAAGCAAGCACGGTCTCGACTAATGGATCCGGCTGCACTTCGGCAGCTTTTGCACTTGTCTTCTTTTGCGTGGCTGTGCTTCATGCTGGAATATTTGCGTGAGTGCGTGCAAATTATCAACTATTTTATTCATATGGAATATCTCGGCTAATAACCACCGCTTACGCAGCAATTCTTTTCGCACTACAGGCTTGCGTAGTGAATGGAATGCATCAGTCGCCGCTCTTTCGGTATCACTCAACATCATCAATGTGACTACCCATAGTGTAAAACTGTTGAATAAAAATTACGCTATTTTGTCACTTCGATTCCCTCTCTTCCACAATTTTTCTTCCATTATGAAGTACCTTTCCAATAACAGCTAGGAACGTTGGAATGTTGTACGCATTCACATCAACCTGCATTTTGTGTACTTTTGTTTAAGCGACTGGTTGGCTACATTGAAGAAGCACGCATTGCTGCACACATTGTGCGTCCTTTGCAGCAGAGAGTACTACACTGGTGCCACACTGGTGGTACATTTTAATGTGTGCGCCTACACAGCACATCTTGTCGTAGTGCCAAAGGCAAGTAAGTGGTGACTCCACGAATGAGGAGTAGATTGTAGTTTCGTTGAAGGTGCGCGGTGGAATCTGGCAGGCCATCAATTTGACTTCATCAACATGTCATATGTTTGCTCTCATTCACATTGTCATTTCTCGTCTGTCTACTGCCATTGCTGACTTCCGTGCTAACAAACAATCCCACCACTGTAAAAGAGCAGCACAGACAATAAGAATTCCCCAAGTCCTCCAACATTAGAACAATCATATTTAAGACTTTGTATATGAAGCACAGCTCTGCAGCAAAAAATGGCAAAGTAATTCAAGAAGAAGACACGAAGCAAGATAAGACTCATTAAAGCAGATCAGGTAAATTTGTGCAATTGCCCACAATCCCACCGCTCCTCCATTCATTCCATAAAGCCTGACTTAACGACCTGCAGGCCTGACTGAAACACCAGCACACACAACTTGACTGAATACCCGGTGAGTATGCCGAGCTGCTCTACAGTTGTAGGCCACCGGCACATTCCAGTAGAGGATAATCTGTTCGTGCAGTAGTAAGCCACCTGAGTTCGAGGTTTTGTAAAAGCCATCGCCTGAGAACCAGTTGCAGTAAAGCGAGGAATTAGCCATCACCAGGCCTACATTATGAAAATTAGGAGAGCAATAAACTAACAGTCCTCATATAGCACCTCAATAATGCAAAATAGAAGGAAAATCACTCACCCCTTTATGATTAGGAAATCACAAAAGTTACGGTAGTAAAGTCAAGAGAGTTTGTTCACCGTCAGTGTATATTACAACAAGAGTCAGGTATCCATTCAGGTTTCATTGGATTTGCGGGTAACTACTCAGCTAATTCGCAGCGATAGTAAAGGAACCACTTGCCGTGTTAAATTCGGCAATCCACTTCAAGGGCCTTATGATCAAATCGTTGACGTAAAGAAACAAACACGTAAAGCCAACATCTCTACTTTAATCTTAGTTCCATATAGTCAAAAAGAAAATATTGGCACTGCATTCTACTTTAGGTAATTAGCCTACTTCTGGGTCTTAAAATTTGAATGGATAAGGTGTTGTTGCTTGATTTTAAAATAAGGGTACAAGATTTTCACTTCTGTTTCAAAATAACATAGTATTTCTGGAAAGCTACTTTAAACAAGCTCTAAAATTTAAATTACTTTTTTCCTTGACACTGCCAAGTCGCGTCTGACGAATTTCTTAGCATCGCAACTGACTCGATGTGCATTTCTACTTGTATTCCTAATCTGATCAGTTAATCATAATTAATCTTAGTTTACCTTATGCACCGAGCAAGTGCATTTTACTATGAGGCGATGGGTAATTTCTTTTCAACTCTTGAGTAACGCGTTTTGGAAGACCAACCCTTGTATGCATTAGTTGCAACTATTAAGTCGAACCGTTTGAATGGCAGAAATTCGGCCCGTTTCATCTCATAGGAACAAACCATTTCATGGTAGTGAAATTAATCTAAAAATAGCAAAAGAGAAGTAAATGTGACAAATCTGAGCATTTGTTAGCCAACAGATTTCCACCAGCGTGGTTACATTGATGATGTTAACTGAATCTGCAAGAGCGCCGACTGATGCATTGCCTCCAACACGCAAGCCTGTGGTGAGAAAAGAATTGCTGGATAAGCGCAGGTTATTGACGGAGATATTACACATGAATAAAGTAGATGAGAATTTGCACGCACTCACGCAAGTGCCGAAGCGAGGACTACAGTCAAGCAAAGGAAGATACCTGCGAAAGCTACCGAAATGGAGCCAGATGCATCAGTCGAGACGGTGCTTCCTTCCTCCTCTACGTAAATAAATAACGTTTAAATGAGAACATCATGGAACAAATTAAGGCTGCTTAACTGCTCTCTCTGTAGAATCGAGCATCAACAACTGCCATGTGGTGGGCAGCTCAATATGTGCTGCTAAAGCGCGACGCCAACAAATGTGGGCAGACAAGTGTGTTAGTGGGAAATACCCCTTGATGTGGAGTTACACAGCATAATTACATGCACCTGCTTACCAGCCGGTAGCGTTCTGATCCTATAAGTGTCTTTCCACAGGCTTTCATGTCTCATACGAATGTCTACTATCACAGAGTATAAGTGGTTGGGTTGCAGTCCCCGAAGTGTGATTTCGCCTTGCGAGAAATTTGCAACATTCCGAATTTCGCCGCCAGATGAATTAGCTGCCACCGCTGATAGTACGACTTCATCTGCATAGCTACCACGGAATGCTTTGGTGTCCCAAATTATCTGCAAGGACCGAGAACCCAGGTGACCTAAAGTGAATGGATATACAAAGCGAGGCGATTCTGTTCCGGTCGTCGTCTCTTCTATAATCAAGAGCAGAAAAGGCAATGTTAAGCAAAGTCTTTCCGGTCATCTCCATTCAAGTAATCACGTAGATGCGCAAATTTTACCTAC